GCACACCGCAGTAGTAATCTCAGACATGAAAACGCACTGCGATATCTCAAATATCGTACCGAGAGAAACATGAGGTGGACTTCGAGTGCGCATTTAGTGTGACAATATTATAAAAGAAAGATTCTTTTGCGTGTCCCATGAAAACGCAGTTGATTTGCAGATAAGTGTATTTGACGAAATCGGTCCTATTAGGATTCAATTAAAACTCGGGGACTGCGCCTACATGATTAGCCACAAGAAGGACGAAACCGGTCGTGAGCTGTCCAAGCGTTTTCAGTAGCTTTGTGAGTAGCTTTCCTGATGAAAATATACTGTGACATCTCGAATACTGTAACAACTGAAGTGAACTTCGTTCAGCTCCTTTAGTTTGAGAATATCTTAAAAGCGAAACTGAGTTGGGTGTCAGGTTATTAACAACGTAATTGTTCAATAAATGAATATGTTTCGTCGATTGTGTACAATCAGGTGGTCCAACCAACATATGTTTGATGGACAATCGGGAACTACACCTACCCAAAGAGATTCAAGAGGGGCGAGGCTGAGCTGTCGAAGGTTAGTGTTAAGCCAAGGACTTAGTTTTTGATGTTTCCTTCAGAAGTCCTTTAGCCGACTCTCTCACAAAAGAGCACCTGTCAAGCCGCGGTTGTCGAATCACATCTTTGAACTGGTGGGCGAAGCATTAAAGAGGGAATTTCGTCCATTGTATCAACCAAATGACGAAATAGCCAAGCGAGCCCTAGATCATAGCTTCACAAGATTACAGATGTATCCCTTCCTCATACCGTCAGTATGCCAATATAGTACGGTTTGCTTAAGGTTTTTTTGTGCGGGATTAGATTTCGGATCTTGCCTGATGGAAGATCGTACCAGGTTAAGGATTATAAACGAAAATGTGTGTGGAGGGCAGTTCCAATCAGGATAACGATGCATACGTATGATACGTATTCAGTTTTAATTGTAGCAGCCGTTGAGCAATGCAGCACTACTTAATCACATCTTTGTCAACCCAAAGGCCGTCACATAAGGTTTACGGAAACGGTGGATGCGCTAATCGAAACCTGATGGACCCCAAGAGGGGCGAAAACGGCGTGATCAGCAACCTCATGAGTAGTGTGTTATCCGCTTTTTTTGACCAAAATTTGTCCGTATGTTCTTGTAAAATGAATAAGATATAGGAAGTATAATCCAAATATGAGAAAAGTACGGTGATTATCCCACATCATTTATATCAGTGGTTGTAGCTGCCACAGTTTCGTTCACCGATGATTTAGGGAGGTGGGGTAGATGGCTGGGCGTTAGAGGCGGGAGGCGATAAATTGGTGCGTAAATACGGCACTGTCGGTGGACTGTCAAGTGGGGGGGGGGGTCGGAAGGGAGCACTGAAGGCAATAGGGTGGATGCATGAACGCACCCTCAGATCATCACTGCATTACAGTTGTTTTGCTCCCCGATGAACTCCTGAGAATGATCCCTCATTCGTCGTGCACAGCCGTATATTGTCTCATGTTTATTTGATTGCTACGAGAAAGTCCAACTCAGCTCGATTTGTTAATTCTAGCTGTTTCGATCACGATGAATTACCGCTCAGGGATTCCAACCTACTGGATCGCAGTGATTATGAAGGGAGCGGCTTCATTCGTTTTGCTCTCTCCAGTCGCAGAGATAAAGTATGCGGGTTATATATGAAACGAAGATTAGAGACGACACTGACTAGTCAATTCATCTGATCTCAGTCAAGGTAACCTAATTATTTGTTTCAACTGTTTCTGTGCGCATAGTCGGGGCTGACTGGTTTCTGCACTTGGGTCTGTGTAACCCGCATGCTTCACATCCGTCAGCGAGAACAGTGACATCGCAGCACATGTCTATTCTATCAGCTTCCGGGATATGGACAAGCTGGACACAGTTTTTCCAATTCTTCAAAAGAATCCTTGTCACACAGGTCACGTGATCTGCTGACCGCCCGAAATTTCATTCTCATCGGCTTAGTGTTCATGTGCACAGAGGAGCTTTGAGCAGAAAGTAGGCAGTGTTGTCCGTAAAAAAATCCCCCATGTGAAATCATCTTGAGTTCCTCAATGGAAGATTGCTGTCCAGTAAAATTAGACAGAAAAGACCATGAATTGGTCGATCGGTTTGTTCAAAAGAATCCTTGTCACACAGGTCACGTGATCTGTTGACCGCCCGAAATTTCATTCTCATCGGCTTAGTGTTCATGTGCACAGAGGAGCTTTGAGCAGAAAGTAGGCAGTGTTGTCCGCAAAAAAATCCCCCATGTGAAATCACCTTGAGTTCCTCAATGGAAGATTGCTGTCCAGTAAAAGTAGACAGAAAAGACCATGAATTGGTCGATCCGTTTGTTTTATAGAACGGTTCCTAATGAAAGGTGACAACTCATCAGAAGCAGCTATGTAATATGATTGTCTTCAGTAGTTCGCGAATATACACTCGTTTGCAAACTAATTTGGTTTTTTCGAGAGACTCACCTGGAACCCAGCTGAATCTCTCGTTTGTGATGTTCTCGGGCAACTGGATGAGCTGCTGTCCTCAGTAGTTGTAGGTGTGAATTGTATGTTGAATGATCCCGAAGCAGATCATGTTGTGTTCTGTTCTGGTCTGGAATCAGGTTTCACACCTGTGGCGACTGATCAGGATGCAGAATTTCCTTGAAACCTGGTCCTCAACAGTTTGACCTTGGTTGACGGAGGCTTCATGTCCATTAAATAGCAATGGATTGGTTTCCTAATAACCAACTCCCCCCTGTTATTTCTTTATTTCTTGATTCATTACTCTCTCCCACACACAGGTTTTGGACGAAGGAAGAAGACGAAAACGCCCCCGAGGGTAGGTGCGCAACACTGACAGAAAATGGAGAGCTTCAGGCAAGAGATTGCTTGGAACTCTATCCGGCACTGTGCATGAATCCCACAGTGTTCTACGCGTTTCGTCGAGGAATGCCTCCAGAAATACCCACAGAATAGTTTACCCCTATCTTCCTGATGCTGATGGTTGTGGCGGTTCTGAAAAAAACTTGTTGTCATTGTTGTTTTTATATGCTTCATTCTGCCTCCATTCTGAGACCACGACAGCAGATAGTAAAATGGGAGTGAGCAGGAGCGTCGCACTGGAAACCACATACTGGTCGCTAAAGCTATTTTTTCAGTGTACCAGTTACGAACAAAGTATGCTGGAGAAAACCTTACTTTTTATCCGTTTCGCTTGATCGGATCGCCTTACCATTGTGCTCATTGTGATGTATAATGTATCTCGACTTCGGAAAACCTGCCGAATAAAAGTCCATACTTTATCGAATATCTGCCCTGGTTGTCACGCCAGGCAGTCTCAAAACCTTACTGACATAGAGATTAAAACTTTTTGACAGGATACGTCAAATGGTTACCTATTTATCTCGATCTTACCTGCACACAGTTCAAGTTGTTGTCATCAAACACGTGAAAGTAGTTTGACACTGGCGGCGTCTGTTTTCGAGAGTAACACCATCTCAGTCGGTTAGTATCCTTTACTTCATTTCAGAGGGGTTTGGTAAACATTCGGTGGATTTATTGCTGGGTAACGTTTCTCTTTTCAGACAAAAGCTTCGTTAGGCCAAGTGAACCAAGTAACTAGGTTGATCTAGCTTTAAGACAGTCAGGGAACCAATCCAAAACCGTTTCAGGTCACTTATTCAAAGCATGTGATCTGTATATACAAAATAACTTTCTAGATCTTACTAACTATGAGGTGTAATTTTGAAGCATGGTTACCAATATTTAGAGTACATACATGATACTGATGTGATCTGTCTTAATACGCTGCTTTACTATACTTCAGTGAAGTGAAAGCCAACTCAGGTATATACGGGTGTGCTCAGCTTTTCACGCAAGGTCACCAAGCATCTTTCTGGGTTGCAGAGTACTTTTATAAACGTATGCATATCCTTGGGGATTTAAGTACATTTAATCCAGCCCCCCATTGTTACAATGACGAGAACCGGATCTAGGAGACCCTGTGTGGAAAAATACGACCCCTTTACTCTCAATTGTCTTAGCTAATAGCGACATCATCACCACAACATCAGCCGGTATTTGTGACTCGAGCAGTCACGTTTGCGCATCATTCCAGCTGAATCAACTGAATACTCTGGAGATAGCTGAAAGTCTCGAAGAAATATTCCGTCCTTTGAAGGCTCAAAATATGTGACGAAGCAAGGGATCGTTTTCGAAATTCCTTTTAGAGTTGACTGTGCGGACTTGTGGTCACCAACTAACACGACGATATCGTCTACATGGTCTATCGGTCTTTTTCCGGATCTGACCTCGAAATCGAGATTCACAGGTCCCTAAAAGATGCCTTGTTTCATGGCATAGACGATAAAATTGAAGAAAACGTAGAATGAAGGAAGGTCATGATGAATCCAAGAAGCACCTGGACACACTTAAGGGGTCGATTGTGCGTGGAACAGAACTATTTACAGAATCAGAATCTCATCTGGAGTCGAGGGGAACAGTGGTTGCTGATCAGACATCTGAAGGTGTGTGAAGATATGGTCACCCCATCGACTGCCCAGATGGACTCTAGTTTAATGTTTTCGGATCTGCGAACACCTTGTCGTGGTTGGGTGTCACAGTATTGCTGAATCCAGTCAGCGCAAGTGTGAGGCTTATACCTTCGTGGAATATCATTTTCTTACCACTGTGTATTGATTAATTAGCCAAATCGGTTTGGAGCGGGTTGTTTTTTCTAAATAAGTTGAAGCAATCAAGCTAAGGGAGAACACAAAGAGCCGGTACCGTTTTAAGTTGCGTTGGGGGATGCCCATCTAAATCAGAAATCTGACGGCACTTCAAGAGGGAAAGGTATGTTAATTCCGGACGGAACTTTACTCCAGACCTCCGCTGCAGTTGAGCGGGCCAAATGAAACATGGTAGTAAAGAATCCTATGGCCCACTAAAAAGTAGTTGGGAATATTCCCCAAAACAATGCCGAAGTGGGCTTTACTCACATGTTAGATTGTCAAATTTATCTTCGATTAGCTGTATAACAGACAGTGCTCTGTTGTTTTGCAAGTCAGCGGGAACAGCTTTGATTGCTGCATTTTTACCTCCTTCGTTTCTAGAAGTTTCTGTTTCTCCCAATCGGCATACAGGTTGAGGTGACGTGTAGCCAACAATCTAGCTGAACATACAGCGAATTCGAGGGATAGAACGTTTTGTGGCTACGGTGTCTGTTGTGAAATGTGGTGTGATTAGTGGGGACGCGTTCGGTGACACCACGCTGTGAGTTTCCAGCGTCATGAGCAGAAATCTTCTCGACTGCTAAACAGAGGTGTCTCCTGCGAGATTCAGCGAAAACGTAAACCAAACGGCAACCTGAACTGCGTCCAAAAACGTATTCTAGAATGATCAATAAGGGGGTACTGAAACCTAGCCACCGACAGCGATTTGGTGTCATAGCTGTCAGATCGCAGTGGAATGCAGGGTAGCACATTGCTGCTGTGTTAGAAGACGATCACTACTGTCGCTGAATTCCTAGTCTAAACCAAACACGTGTCACGAAGTCCTATCCCGGATGAACCAGTGCTCTAATTCTGTGCTTTGGGATCTCCAGCGATTCGGACCATATCTGAAGGCATCGTGGCGGATAAGCAGCTCGATAAGCTGTCTGTCACTGGATCAGAGCTACAGTCGGCTGGTTCTTGTTCAGTAAACAGGTGGCTACTCTTTTCGGCTCTCGAAACTGCACAGGACGCAGGGACGACTGCTTACGTATGTACAACCAACCAAAGAAGTAAAATCACGGGAATGAGAGCCATGTCCGCATAGGCGTGATTGACAAGCTATGGTCTCCGGAAGACCAAATTCCTGCACTTGAATCTTGAGACAGAATTTCAGGAATGCGGCAAATTCTCCTTGACACTTAGTCAACAGTGTGCAAAAAAGCAGTCTGATTACCAACTTGTCTGTGGATCACCATGTTAGACGTACTGTGGTCCGATTACTGAACCCTAAGCGGCAGGTGTGAGCACTGTTTTGGATACCTGATGCACGTGTCCACATTTGGGATCTACTGAAGAGTGAATAGTAAGTTGGCGGCGAGATGGTTCAAGTGGGTTGAGCGTGAATTTACTAACCGGAAGGGAAGGTCCGCGAGCCCGAACTCTCCTCTCGACTTCCCCTGTTTAGGCTTGGGCAACCTGGCAGTATCTCAGCCCTCGTGCTTCCTTCGGTTCGGGTGGCAGCTAGGCACCGAAAGGGTGTTACAACTGAACGATTGGTCAGTTGACACTCGGTATGCACATCCCACGTAAAGTGATACCGTGACCTTCGGTGAAGGAGGTGCTCGTTCGGTGTCCGACCACGTTATTGGGCGGATTCTGTACACAATTTAAATGAACCACTTCATATTAGCCCTGTTCAGTTTTCACCGAAATCGACCTATTCAACTCGGCTCGTAAAAGCTAGTGTAAAACTCTGTTGTTCTCTTCCACCTCCGGGGAGGAACACGCACAATGGCAGCACTAGACGACTGTGACACGGACCGATCGATTTGTTATCTTAAGAAGACACAGAGAGCATTAGTATTAAACCAACATGTTTACTCATTCTTACCGAACTGACGTGAGGAGGGGCATCACAAAAGTGACCTGTTAACACCATTCGAATAACTGGCTTCAACAGGAACTTTGTTAAAGCAAGCGAAGCAGGTTGATGTTTCACCGAAGCATAGGAACCGAGACAGTGTCTAGAATGTACACATTCTAAAAAACCAGCTAATTAATTTTTCCAACTTGGATAAATCAAGCGCAATCATTGATGAACTAGTTTCACTCGTGTTCCCGAATGAAGTCTGTGTACGTCTTGCTTGATATATAGAGTTGATTTATCAGTCACGGCGTACTGGGATGCCTCACATCTGAGTCGTTTGAGTCCGTTTTAATCCCGGAGAGTTTTCGGACCAACTCACTCTGCTAAGTTTGTATAGAGAAAGAGTTTTCCGTAGAATCCTTGGCAAAACAGTACCTTGAGAAGGCCTATATCAGAAAGTCACTCAAAACGTACGGAAG